GGCATCAACAGTATGGTGAGGGGCGTAACATTTCCGTCTCACGCTTGAGGTATTTGGCCAATCACAACGCACTGGATAGCTGGCTAATCAGAGCACACCTCGCTTTTCAGACCGATTAGTTTTGTAAAAATCGACGCGTTTCAAAAAGGCGGGGCATAGAGGAGAAACAATGTACAGTATGTGGAAAATAATGTGTTTTTTGAACTTTAAACCGCATAAACACATTTCATTACACCAAATACACAAAATAATGTTCTTTTTAGCAGCATCATATGACCCCTTTAAATTCACATCACTGTTTTTACTGTATTTTTGATCAAATACATCAACTACACATTCATATATGTGACCCTGGACCACAAAACCAGTACATTTATACATCTGAAAGCTGAATAAATAAGCTTTCCATTGATGTATGGTTTGTTAGGATAGGACAATATTTGGCTGAGATACAACTATTTGAAAATCTGGAATCTGAGGGCGCAAAAAAAAAATCAAAATATTGAGAAAATCGTTCTCAAAGTTCTTAGCAATGCATATTACTAATCAAAAATTACGTTTTGATATTTACGGTAGAAAATATTTACAAAATATCTTCATGGAACATGATCTTTACTTAATATCCTAATGACCTTTGGCATAAAAGAAAAATCGATAATTTTGACCCACACAATGTATTGGCTATTGCTACAAATATACCTATGCTACTTATGACTGGTTTTGTGGTCCGGGGTCACATATCTGACCTGTAACTCATCACTGAACATAGATAGTCTGAACTATGACCAATATGCAATCTACCTGTTAAGGCCAGTCTGTCTGGGATGTGCATGCTGTAGGCAGCAGGTAGCTCTTCATGTCTTTGCTCTGCAGGCTCCTGCGCGTGAGGCGCTGGACCGACCCTCAGCCGCTCGGGCACTTGCATCCTCTGACTGATGACCTCAGTGAAGTACGGGTCACGCTCGCGCATCGGAGGACCATCACCAAAATACCCTGGAGATGCCATAACTAGCCTAAAGCCAGTAAAGGGAATTAGACTGACCGCATGGCACAACATCAAATGTTAAGCTGCGTTATGGGAGCAAAACAAACACACGGACTGAAATAGATTACAAAATAAAGTCATGGTAAGTCATTTTTTTAAAGAACCATAATGTAGTAGCAAATGCTCAAGATAACTGCTGCTTGCTGGTTGTAATATATTCAAAGTGAGCGGTCATTGACCCATGTGTGTTCAGATAACGTTAGAGGTCAGCCATCAAGATTGTTCCTTTATGACCTACAGACAGTCTCCTAGATAGACGTCAATTCTCGACTAAGCAGTTTAACATTTCTAGACAGCAACACACTGTTGAACAGACACCTGTTGATTACAGCTCGCGGGGCTAAAGTTGTCAACTCATAACGTTTTAAAGTCAATGGTCTATTAAACAATTAAAGCCTAATTAAAAGTACTAAAGAGCAATTAGCGATCATTTTCTTTGGGTGAGATACATACGTCATTGATAGTTAATGCTTTTAACAAGTCTGTGTGGCAAAACACAAAGCGCTCAACATGAATAAAACTGAGCTCACAGAGATGTGTTCATTTTTTTCCTAATTATATTCAAGTTTAAATATGAAGAAATAAAATAAAATAATAAAAAATTAAACTGGATTCATGCATCAGTTTACTATTTACGCAACTGACTTTCATGTGCGACTGATTATATGCAATGTATATTCACACTAAATGGATATTTGAGTATATTACATCCATGTGGTATAGAAATTGCCATGATGCCTAAAATGAAGGAAATTTGATACAAGACATAAACAAATGTACAATTCTGTCATAATTATGAATTTCAATACCAGTGCTTATGTTCATAAAATGTGTTTACATTTAAATGCAAACTTGTAACCAGCACAAACAGATCTAAGATAATTAAGAGCCACAGTGGAAAAATATATATAAATGCAAAACTAAAAATCATATCATGAATGATGAAAAAATCATGCAATTTGGCTTGAAGAACAACAATGATGTATCATGTTTTGGTTTAGGATATAACATATATTTAGCATATAAACAAAGCCTGTGGCTTCTGTGGCACATTCTTGCTTGCACAAACGCTAGACAGGAACATGAGTGCTGGTAACAGGCATAGATACGAACACATATACACACATATTCTCTGACACATTTCTTCACGCATACAGTTCTCTCTTGGTCTAAAATAAACACAAAGATAAACCACACTTGAAATTATCTTCAGTTCTTGCTACCTCTGACATGATGTTGTTACAACAGAAACCTGTTACTTTATGACGTTCAGCCGTAACTTACAACTCACTGAAGCTACCAGCAGTCCAGCTCATCTCTTAACGCTCAACATCTGCTATAGTGAGTTGACTATGCTATTCTCTTATCAGTCTTTCAACAGCAACAAAGCCTGAAACTGATCTGCCGTCCGTGTCAGCCGTTATCAATGCCGTCTACTGAGCTGGGTGCTCCATCAGCGCAAAAGACAGCCTGTCAGGGCATTGTGGGATTGATTGTTGCGGCTGGAGAAAGAGTCCCAAGCCAAGTAAGCAGTTTGCAATTCCTCCATTTTTAATGAGCAGAAGCAAGGTCAAACCCCACTTCCCCAGTGCATCTTTCAAATACTGTGCTTGTATATATATTCGATCCGTTTGAGCTACTGTTTGGATGAAAGCGTTTGGTCATGTTAAAGCTCTAACCCTTTTTGCATTAGGATTTTATAATACAGTGATTTCAGCACAATTATATTAAGGCTTCATTAGTTTTAGTGCTTTGCCCAACAACCCACTGATGCCTTGCAATGTCACTTTTACATTTATATTGGATTGATACAGCAATATTCCCATCACAACGCTAAAGTCTGGTCACATTCGCGAAATTGTGTGGTCAAAACGGCTAATTTGAGTGAACGTTGTGAAATCTGCCTAAGGCAATCTTACGCCCTCAAGTGCAAATAACTGCATTTTGCACTCAAAAATTCATCGAACGTTGGTAAATGTGACCACGCCTTAAGTCGAATATCCCAGTCACTCAAAAGTTGGCAGTGTGAGAGATTATTTACACATTTACTACAATGGCAGCAGTTCATTGGCTTAAACCTGAGCTGGAAACATGATTCAGCCGCATTTAATAGATGGGCAGTTTGGTTGACTAGTAGAGCATAAGCCGTATACACAGAGAAGATAGTGATGAGGAGGCAAACAAGGTGAGAACAAGCAGCATTATAGTACAGTATAGCACCTGGTGATGTCAAAAGCCACAGAAAGCTTTGTACAAATTCACACAGTTTTTACGCTGTTATTAAAAAAGAGTAATAAAACACATTGTAAACAGTCTGAGAACAACGGGGAGAACAACAAAACAAGAAAATCGAGGGCCTGGAATGTTGTATTATCCAATGATTGGGCCCCAAACACAGTTTTTGTGTGTGTGTGTGAGTTTTTGTGCATTTGTGTCTTGGGAGAGAGTGATTGTGTGAGCACACAGCGTTTGAGGTAAAATCTCGCAATAACCGTAAAATCACAAGCAACTGAGCAGACGATTTGATTGACTATTCTTACATGTTTCTAAGGCCTAGCTCAACACGAAACAAACGCATTACATTCTATGTAAATTTCTGTGTATGTGTCTGTAAACAATCGAATTGTGTGCATACCTGTGAGTGCATTTTCCACACAACGGTCTTCAATTTTACAGATATGTGATTTGGATGTTGTTTTTCGCATTTATTCTGTTCCCATCAGTGTTACAAGTAAGGGTGTATTACTAATTCTAAGGACGATGGCATGGATCAGAGATACTGCTGGTATAAGATTTCACAGGAATTAGTATACGTGGTGTAAGGGAATTGTGAAATCATGACTTTATGAACACAAGAAAGGACAGCACGCACACACTATAAATATTCAGTGTGTCTGAACATTTCTACGATACACCAATTAGATTTGGCACATCATCTTGTTTTCCCGCATGAACACTCCTTTCGATTCCTAGCAGGCTCCGAAGCTTGATGCCTGATGCGATTACCATGCAGCGCACAACTTGGGATATATCTCTTCTTCACTTACTTCTATACATTTTCTTTCTGAGGGGCAGCCACTGCAGCTGTGGGTAGTGGTGTGAGAGGTCGAAGGAGGAGTGAAAAGGTACATGGAGATGGTGAGAAGGCTGCATGAGTGTGAAGGCAGGAGGACCCTTTGCGACTTGAAAAACAACCACGTTTACCAGTGCAGTCCACGAACCGATCAACGACACAAGGAGACCGTCACATACATAGCCTGCACACTCTGTTCAGAGTGAGAGCCACATTAGGATAAGTGTTTGGGAACCAGTGCATCCCTAACGTTTGGTTACTGCTATATGAGTCCTCTTTCATAAAGGCTCTCACTTTTCTAGCACTATCTCCTCATATTTGGGCGGAGGATCACTGTAGGGGGTTGTCGTCTCATCACTGCTGCTCTCTAAGTGGCCGGTAACTTCTTCGTAGGATGGCGGTGGGGTCGCCCCGGACAGGTGGGAAGCCACGGACAAAGATGAATCTTGTACATACAAGGAGCGATTGTTCTGAGAGTGGCTGGTGTGATGATGGGCGTCTTGCGGCGTGACCGAAGCCCCGTCCCTCTCGCCACTGCTGACCACCATGCTGGGCCTGTCATTGGCGTGAGAGTTCTCTGAATGCAAAGGAGGGTCGCGGTGCACCAGGATGCGCGGGAGGCTGCGGGCGTTCCGGTTAGCCAGATAGCGGTTCTGGGTGTAGGCCGGACGCCGGCGCGTGGCCTTCTGCAGTTGACAGCGCCAGATGAGGAAGAGCGCAATGATGATGAGAAGAGCCACGCCCAGTAGGGGCACCACCATGTACACAGTGTCCGGGCGCGCAGAGCGGGAATCAGCATTGCTGTTCACTGTGTAGATGCTGCGGTTTTTCCAGAACTCCATCTATGAATGAAGTGATAAATGATATAAGCCAGTTGCACACATGAAACTGTTAAACTGCCGTGGCCTTCTGTGTTTCATACTAGCATTCACACACCACCACCAGAACATCATTCCACAGATTTGTCATTTTTCCACCAATGTTTTTTTTTTTTTTTTTTACATTCTGTTGTTAAATCTTATTAAAATAATGCTGGCTGATGGCTTCAACAAAAGTATATACCATCAGTTAACAACCTTGAAAATCACAATCTGTCTCTCTTTAAAGGTTTTTAAGGTATTGGTAAAAAAAACTGTTTCCCTATAGAGGAAATGGATTTTAAAATGAGAGGATTTTTATTTCTGAAACCCAACTGCACTCTATTTTGGCCTTAATAATTTTAAATAAGTTAGTATACTTGTTTAACAGGGAGACAACAGTGTCAATAAAAATGTGATGTATGAAAAAAACAATTTTAAGATATTACAGAGCCCCGCACATGACATGCAAGAAAAAATAAATAAATTGTGCACACGATTACTATTTCGTTCCCTCGATTTGCTAATTCGTTCCCTCGATTTAGCAAATCGAGGGAACGAATTAGTAAATTGTGCGCACAATTTATAAATCGAGGAAACGAAATAGTAAATCGTGCACACGATTTAGCCTACTATTTTTTTCCTGCATGCCATGTGCAGGGCTCCGTAAGATATCACTAAAGCTGTAATTTAGTAAATTATGAACAAAAAGTGAAAATATTATTGTGTATATTTAGGATACATAAATGCTAGCTAAGCTAGCCATTAGGTCATTTTATTCCAAAAAAAAGTGTAAAATGTGATCTACATTACTTTTTTTATTTCCATCACAGAATGCCATTAAACACAACATGTAATTTACGATGTGATGGAAATGGAACTGAGATTAAAAAAAAATAATTAAAAAGAAGTTTTAATAGAGTTCCTTTTCTAAAAGTCTACAGGGCCAAAAGTAACACCTAATAGAAACACCCACTTATGAATTGTAGATCTGTATGTCATGTTTGCCTGTAGGTAAAGCGTGTGGAGTAATTGCTTTGGTTCCTAAGAACTTTGCGACTGGCTCAAATTCTGTGACAGCAGATTTCTTACATAAACGCATCCAAACCTGGCAAGTGCTTGTTCACACATATTGTTCACTCTAATACTGCACTGTTTCAGCAAATTGCTGAAACTGATTTGCTGGTATTTTGACAACCTCTCTAAAAGGAACAATCTGTAATGTGTAAAGCAGTAGACTTGCATTAAAGGGGTCATGACATGAGAAATCAAATTTGCCTTGATCTTTTAGAAAATAAGAGGTCTTTGTACCATTAAAACATCTTCCAAGTTCCATAGCTTAAAATATCCTCCTCATTGTAAACAAAGCATTTATTTAATCAAGCTCCAAAAACAGCCCGTTTTGGATTCAAGGGGCAAGATGACGTAACCTGGGCGAAGTCGTTCGCATAAACACAAGGCATCGACGAATTGTCATCTTCTCACCATAGGCCCCGCCCACTGGTGTTCAGTCGCTTAACGGCTTGACATTTAAAGGGTTAGTTCACCCAAAAATGAAAATTCTGTCATTAATTACTCACCCTCATGTCATTTCAAACCCGTAAGACCTTCGTTCATCTTCGGAACACAAATTAAGATATTTTTGATGGAATCTGAGAGCTGTCTGACCCTGCATAGACAGCAACGCAACTGAAATGTTCCCAAGTCCAGAGATGTAGCAAGGAGATCTGTAAAATAATCTATGTGACATCAGTGGTTCATCCGCAATTATACGAAGCTACGAGAATACTTTTTGTCCGCAAAAGAAAAAAAAATCGACTTTATTCAACAATTCGTCTCCTCCGCTTTTTTTTTTTTTTTGCGCACAAAAAGTATTCTCGTAGCTTTGTATAATTGGGGATTGTAACAACTGTTCGTAGGTCAGGAAGAAGGAGGCGGGAACCGGCGGACGTTGCTGTCTATGCAGGGTCAGACAGCTCTCAGATTCCATCAAAAATATCTTAATTTGTGTTCCGAAGATGAACGAAGGTCTTACGGGTTTGAAATGACATGAGGGTGAGTAATTAATGACAGAATTTTCATTTTTGGGTGAACTAACCCTTTAACACTCATGTTTGGGTCACGTCTTTGTACAGATATCAGCAGGATCCCAGCGTAAGAAACAAGTGGATAGTTTATTTTTATTGGCACCCCGGATCGTGTCAGAGAATTGATTGGAACATTTTGTTTTGTAAACGAGGCACAGTGTCGTGGAGAGTTCACAACCAAACATTTGTTGAAAGATGAAGCGGTACTATATCTGACTGCAGCTGCAGCACAAACCATAAGTAAATGATTTCATTATGCTTTGTCTGGAAATTACCGTTTTATTTTGATCATGTTGTCATAACACACCTGCAATAGCGAGGTGGCGTTGATACTGTTTCCTATGCGATGACGTTAGCTAATCGTAACGGTGGCCGATTACTGAGATGCCTTAAAGGACCCGCCCCTTAAAAACAGGTTGTTTCAGAATGAGGGTTGAAAATAATTATTTTTCCACACATTTATTTGTGCAAAAAACTTCATTAACATTGTAAGTAAACCTCAAGGAACATATTAAAATAATAAAAAATTAATGTCACGACCCCTTTAATATTAAATTGCATCCGCTAACAAAAAACAAACAAACACAGGAAATAGAATTTGTTTACATCTTTGGCCGATGAAGACAGGATTTACCGTTCGCTCCTTATTTTCAAACACTTCATTGGCCTCCTCAAAGCTGCAGCTCTCCTCGGCACACTCCCTCTCAATGTTGCCCGGCCGGAACTCCTCCAGGAAGCCATTAGCCCGTGGAAAACGTTTGAGGAGAGAGTTTGCATCCTTGCCATCTAGGAACGCTGAGAGATCGGAAGACATCGGTATGTTTTATTGGGGGCAAAGGTGTTTCTCTGTTTGTTCCTGTGAGTAGTATACGTATGTTTGCCAGTCATATACTCAAAAATGATAGAAAAATCTTTTTTTTTTAAATTCTGATAATCATTTTCCATCCATTTATCGCTCTGCATTACATTAAAGTCCAAACAATAACAAAAATGAAGCATATTCACAGAAAAATGTTCACAAGACCTATAACGTACATTTAGAAAATCAATTTTCATTTCATGCAGACTATAAAATCTATTTCATAAATTATCAGTACGGGCTATTTCAATGCTGAAATGAGTGCAGCACATCTCAAGAAGGGCTCAAAGAACCCAAAGAGCTTTGACACATCTTCTATTACTTCAAGGTTTTATGTCATTTAACAAGGCGTGCCAAGAACTACTGCACTATTTTTTTTAGATCAGACAGAAATATGAATGGACCCTATTCCAACATCAACATTTTAAGATGAAGTTGTTGAAAACTGGTCCTTACCTGCTGCCATACTACAACAAGAGAACTCAGTCTGAATTATTTTGACCTAGGGAGAAGAAAAGATGCATTTAAAGGGTTGGAAAAAGTTTTCTTATGTGCACACTTGTTGTTATTCATCATAATTATGGCCATTTGTTTTTATCAAATGACAGACAAAACAACAAATCAACAGTGAAGAATCAGATATGAACTCCAGGCCATTGACATACTAAATATTCTGGTAAATATTCTAATTGGCATATTCTAAAATATAACATATAAAAAAAGACTGCTATCAAGAAGCTGATATCTTTACTATATAAATCTATAATAATCTCTTGCCCTTCTAAGATAATGCTGATGGGGGAGGGAGGGAGGAGGGGCGGGGGAGGAGGTTCCCATAGTAACGGAGAGGGTAGATAGAGAGATGCGCGAGCTAAATTTATATCACTCGAGCTCGAGCTCACTCCTTAACGAATTAATTTAATTCGTGAGTTACTATCGCTTTATCGCACACGAAAAATGCCACCCCAACGCAATTTCACGTTTATTAATGTCTAAAAACCGCATCGAATAAAAAATAACGGAGATAACACGAGTAAGAAAAATAAGACATACAAAGCATACTTGAAATTCTAGATACAAAATAGATTTTCTTCTAAGTGCAAGTGTTTTTAGAAAATATTGACAAAACTATTTAATGTAGTTACATTACCTACGGCCATTCTTAAAAGCAAATAGCTTTCTTAAAAGCGAATAAAATATTAATAAGAGACCAATTCAGTTTGACTATAGCAGCTGGCAGTAGTCCTTAGAGGGGCTCTCAGTGGGATTAAAGATGTATATTTATAAAGGCAGCGAAATTTTTAGTTGCCATGGAACAAAACAAAACAATGTATACATTTGTAACTCAGAGGAAGATGCAAAATAATAATAAAGCCTACCTTCCAGGCTGTTGCAATTGCTAGTCCATTCCATCCCTGTTTCTAGGGAGCACCCCCATGAGTCACGGATGCCGTTTGATTGACATGCGGATGGACCAATAGGAGTCACGGATTCCCCCTGATTGTCCAATGAAATTTTACTGTCCCATGGAACAAAACAAAACAATGTATACATTTGTAACTCAGAGGAAGATGCAAAATAATAATAAAGCCTACCTTCCAGGCTGTTGCAATTGCTAGTCCATTCCATCCCTGTTTCTAGGGAGCACCCACATAAGTCACGGATGCCGTTTTATTGACATGCGGATGGACCAATAGGAGTCACGGATTCCCCCTGATTGTCCAATGAAATTTTACTGTTGATTTCGTACACGCAAAGTCATACTTCTTGGGGAATGGGGAAAATAACCTGGGTAGTGTAGTCTGTCTCAGTCTGCACACGTATACGCTTCTCCGACACAGTTTCTAGAAACCCTTGCATGTTTATGCCCAGACATTAATGTTTTATTCGTATCGTTATGGACGCGGAGTGCCATCAAGTGATATTTTAATTTGAGAAAGAGGATGATATAGAGTCAGGGGTCTCTCTCGATGCCACGCCTTGAGTTAAAAGACAGCATTACCCACAATGCTGAACCGCTCCTTTTTAACTCTGGCTTGCCGCTCGTGATGGAACGGTGTGATTTTTGAAATATCAGTAAGCCACAAGGTTGCAAAATGACCTTTGAACTCACATTTAAATGTAACAACCAAATTAAGCTATACCATCCTAAATGTCTTAATATTCTACTGCGTATGTGAAAACATACCTGGCAATAAAGCTCATTCTGATTCTGATTCTGATTCTGATACTGGCCTACATTAACAGAAATTTCTAGTAAATAAAACATGTTGGATAAATTAGACATAGCAAATTGCGTACTGAAGCTAATTTCTCTGGCATTGTTATTTTATTTATTTATTTATTTTTATTTACATTTTTCCCCCACAAAATTAGTTTGAGGTCAAACAATAAGCCATAGACACCCTGCAGTACCACCATAGTCCCTCTAGGGGTCACAGACCCCCTGTTAAAAACCCCTGATGTAACTCCTGTTATGCTGTAATGTGTTTCTCAGTTTTAAAGTCACTTTACCTTGTGAAAAAGAAGTGCACATAAGTGTATTAAATGCACACTTGTGTACATGCAATTGTAAAAGTATATTTAAGAAAAAAAAAAAAGTTTTTGCAGATAATATTAAATTAATTAAATAAAAGGTCACGTGTACTTAAAAAGAGGACACTTTCATTAGTATATTTGGTAACGGTTTATTTTAAGGTGTCCTTGTTACACATGTTACAAGTAATTACTATTATAATAACAAAACATTATGCATAATTACATGCAAGTAACCCTAAAACAAGCCCTAATCCTAACCCTAAACCTATAGTAAGTAGTTAATTAATATTACTCAGTACTGTACTAAATGTATAATTACACTGTAACAAGGACACCTTAAAGTATAACCCTATATTTCTTAACACACTTAAGTACACTTTTAGAAAGTGAAAATTATTTAATTACTATGTTTTAATAATCTTTTGCCATGCTTCATTTTTATGTTTTATTTTTATTTTTATGTTAACTAAAAAAACTAAAGCACTTATAAAGTACTTACAGTTAATAAAGGTTAACTCAAATTTAATGCATTTTAAATGTACTAAACTGCAACTTCATTAAATGTGTAATTACAAATATGTTTAAAAACATAATTTACAAATTTCAATAAAAATAACATGAAAGTATGCTTGTTAGTACATTCAGCAGTACATTATGAAATTGCATTTAAAGACGTACTATTATTTCTGTAATAAGTGCTCATTTTTAAATATGCTAAAATGTTTTTCTTTTTCTCAAGGGTTTACAGTATACTATAACACTTTTATGGATTTTATATACTGAACAAACATATATCTTAGAAGTGTTAGAGGCTTTCCATAGCCTAAATGTTCTAACTGTTCTGATCTTTTTCTGGCCCATTGGTAACCACTTCAATGCCCTCCAATAAGAAACTGCCTTTTCTCCTACAGTATATATATTCATAGAAGTAGCAAAGCTATCAAGTCAGGTCTCTGCTGACCTGTGACTTTAACAGAAAGAGTCCAGTCTTGAAAATCCAACATTCTTAAGGGGACATTGTCATAGTACAGTGTCCTTTATCAAAACTCTTTTGTTTGAAACCTGGACAAACAGCAGAGCCCCTCCTAGTCAACAGATAGGCTCAGAAAACATCAAAGGACTCAAGTGAGTTCAAAAAAGAGACTTATCAGAAGCACAAATCCCAAACAGACAAGGTTTGCACTCATTTAAATATAGATTTTTATTTTAAATCAAAAGTACAAAAGTAGAAAAATATGCCATAAATACATATATACATAAATCATATTATTAAATTAGGGATGGGTAATAGAATACAAATAGAATTTTATATACAAAAGAAGGTAAGAACCCTGAGATCGCTCTGAAACAGCATTTCCCAATGTGGGATTGCATTTGCATTACTTTTATGCAAGACATATCTAAATCTGCATTCATGTAATTGATGTTTCCTGCATAAAACAATCAGTAAAATCACTCTGGTTGTGCTCGAGATGCTCATAAGAAACACCATGTCCATGCACTGAATTATTGATGGCACGACTTCTCTAATAGAGCGCGATGTGGCATTATCCAGTGTTGATGTTAAATTTATGATCTTTTCCTCAGTGTAAGGTCACTGTTGCAAAGACGGGTGAGGATGAACATTCAGTTGTAACTGGTGAAGTGACTGTTAAGTTTAAGACACTCCTCAGCGTCGCTGTCGTCATCTTCATCACAGCTGTCCTCCTCTTCCTCGCTGTCTGACTCATCGTAGAAGTTTATGGTGGCCTGCGCTGGGAAATTTCTGAGCAGGGCCTCGCCATCGCTGAAGAGGTAGTCGTAGGATTTCGATCTGGGCCAATACAGCCTAAAGTATGAAGAAATAAATGGGTAAATACAAACTACGCAAACAGAGCACGGAAATGCACTTTTTAGCATGGTAAAATAAGCCTTATTTGGAACGGATTAGGGTTTTAGAGCCAAAATAAAAGCATGTTATAAAACAAAACCATTGCTCAAGCAAAATTAAATGCTCACTGACCTGACAGGGTGCTGGAAGGACTGCAATTTGCCATCTATTGTAGTGTTACTGGGCATTTCTGGCCTGGAGTAAGGCTGGAAAGAGTGAGAAAAGACGTGTAAGACCACATGCACGAAATACAGCTCAAACAATGCTTCCTGTCCAGTGTTTATGAGGTGATATCACTGCCAGCTTCGTGGGTGTAAAACACCCTGGGCAGGATGCAAAAGCTGTGACATGGAGGGTGTCAGGCTAAAGTGTTTGTGGGAACCTGGCTCCAACTCCCTTTCCCAAACCTAGAGGTGTCTGCTTAAATCTTGGCAAGCGATCGCTTGCTCTCTGGGAGCTGTTTTCCCCTACACCTCGTCTCTGGGCACAGACTCAGTGTTCACACTCAGACAGTGGTGCCATATGGCTAAGTGTCTCAGCGCTAGAGCTGCTCAGTTTGCCTTTGCGTCACTGAATGGCTTGGTGTCAATGAAACACCTCCACAGTCACACAATCTGCTGCCTAATGCTCACCACATGCCTGTCTGTCACCTAAAAGCTACCTGCTGCTCTAAAAAAACTGTATGCCATACAAACAATTGAAATCTTCCGTGCTGTAAAGTTGAATTAACCCGCAGCCTAATAAATAGCACTACAGGAGTTCATAACGGTACCATGTGTTTTCTGAGCTTAATAACATTCCTATAGCCTACAGATGGACATTCTATTGAAATATTAGAATTGCAGTGGTGGAAAAAAAACTTACACAAGCCAACTTGGTTCTCCGGCATTCAGTTTGTGCATCCTTTCTTGTCATGAGCCACGGTCTCCACAGGCAAGCTGGGCTGTGGATCGAATGAGAGTAATATTTTAGATGTGCATCTAACAGGTAACCTCTAAATAAAGAATAGAATAGAATAGAATGCTCACCTGCTAGACTGCTGGATGTCAGTGTTCATTGTATTGGAAACAGGAGCTGCAACGCACACAGAATTCATTTCTTTTTCACTTTTTTTGCTGGGCGATAATTCCCAAATAGTCCTGTTTTGGAAGATCTCTGAGAGATGGACGCCTTGGATGAGTCGTTATCCTCCGCAGGGAACCGAATGAATGAAGAAGAGTCGCTCTCGGGGTTTTTATGGAGCTGGAGCTGGAGCTACAGGGGCGGGGCTGGACGATGGTGCCGATGCCAAACGATCCGAGGTTGTTTTATTAAGAGGGGGTTTGGTGCTGTTTGCCAAATCATGGGGATAGAGACTGCTATGGACATTTTGGTGTGAAGACTTCTCCAGTTGTATAAACAGTGCGCCCCAGCGTGAGGGTGAGAAATCTGGTACGGTGAGGTTATTGCAACAACACGGAGGGGCAAACTTACACACCATCTGCGAGAAAGACGACGTGGGGCGACACAGGAGTGGAGCCATATATAATATAGGCTAGGCTAGTTAGTTAGTTGTAAGGTTTAGGACTACGCAGGCTTGATCAAACCATACATAAAACCCAAAACGTGTGCTTACTTATCTATACAACGTTCTTATTAATTCTCTGTAGGCTTAGCCTATATATTATTTTATTTATTTATTTTAGATTTTAAGTTCTGTCCCCTGTGTTCTTGTTAAAATTATGAAATTATGTAAATAAAACGAATCAATAAAAACACTACTGACGTCATCTTATTGAATTGTATTACTTTTACCCGTTTATTTATTACCAGTTTTTGATTTTGTACAGCAACCGACAGTGCAAAACAGAACGTTTGTAGAAATTTTTTATTCTCTCAATTCTAAACTCTTTTTTTTTAGGCTAGGCTATAATATAATGACGCCATGTAGTAGGCTAGCAGGGGCTAATTGTAAACCCTCTTCTTTTAAAGGCATAACTACCCAACACAGACCTATAGGTATTTTATTATT